TTTGGGGTTGACAACACCTAAACTAACATATCAGGGCCAATCTTCTTAATGATTTACCCTAATAAAATATCGATAAGCACTCAATTGATCTTTGGAAGGTGATTTCTCTCAACATGTGCGTGCACTTTTAGGGCTTGTGAAGAAAAATTCATCCTCTTCAGGTAAAACTTCTCCTTTGACCTTGCGATTTTTTCTGTATTCAAGAGGTTTTGGGTATTTTTGTCGGGAAAATAGTGAAGAGGAAGAAAAACTATTTGGGGAGAGTAGATTTATGCTCTAAACTTGCATTCTGAGTCAAATACATCCTACATTTGTCTTCCTTTATTTGTTTTTCTCTAGTTTCTATGACCCCCAAAACCAAAGGGAGTAAGGATAAAGTTTTTTTTGATTGTAAGAAATTTGTTAGTTACAAAGCTTAGGAGAGATATAACAAACTTATTGTGTCAAAGAAATTAAGTGCAGAGTAGAGTTTCATTAGCTAGATGGCGATGTAGAAAACATCATTGTATCTCGTCATTGGGAAACTTTTTGCTACACTACTGCCGTAACTATCATTTCTATTGTTATAGAGTTCTATGCAAATATCCTAGAGGTCTCTAATGTTTCTATCTTCAATAGGGAGAAGAGAGTGAATTTTACCCCATGCACATATCAATTCACTCTATTCTTTGGGAGCTGTACCGAACCCACTGACTCCCAACTTGATGATATTATTAAGTTCTTGAATGATGGAAAATGAACTTGGAAGGTTAGAAATGACCCAAGGTAAATTTTTCTTCATCTAAGTTAAATGATCCATCCAAGGCATGTCATTATTTTATTTCAACCAGCCTTCTTCCTTCTACCAATCTTAGTGAGGTTACTACAGAGAGGGGAGGTTTGAACTATTACATTCAGAAGATGAAAACTATTAATATTGGCTCTCTTATCTACAATTCTATTGTCAATGCTGTAATGGGAAGTTCTACTTTAGGGTTAGGATACCAGTATCTTATTTTCCCCCTTTTCGCAGCAGTCTGGTGTTGGTTTTGAGAGAGAGGAGGATTTGATGCATCCATTGAAGCCCATTAGTATGGCCAATGTAAGTTTACATGACAAACATGTTGTTTTTGGACATGGAGCAAGTTCTTCTAAACTTCCTTCTTCTTCGAGACCATTTACTTCATATGCTTCAACTGAACCTTCTATGAGGGTGGATTCTATGTCTGAATGTTTGAAGGTTATAGAAGGTGATATTGCCATCATTAAGAACCAAGTGTATGAAAATGGAGATTAATTGAAACTGTTGGATTTGCAGAACAAACAACGAAGCAATTATGAAGCTGGTATTCATGCTTCTCTGTTGGAATTATGTAGGCAGAATAATTGGATTAGAGAAGATAAACAGTGGAGTATTCTAAATTTTTACCCTTTCAGTTGTTTGAACGTCACATGTCGATGGATGAGGATTCAAAGAAGGATGATGATGATGATGAGGGGAATGAGTAATAGTACTTTCCATTTAGATGTAGTGGACTTTTATATTTATATTTCCTTGTCACTGTTAAAACGTTGTATTTTACTTTTCATGTATCAGACTATATATTTTACTGCTTCTAAATGGATGAATTGAATTAGCCTTCTTATTATGTGGAAATTCCATATGAAAAATGTTGAACTGAGATTCACTTATGCATATTTGTATCTTTTGCTTATACCTGCATTTTTGGTAATACAATCATGTGGTAAAAAGTAAGTTAATTTTCTTTTATCCCTGCTCATATTCTTGCTCTTAATGTTGTACATGTTGAAAATCAATTTTGGTTGAAGAAAAACTTTTAAAAAGCGTAACTTTATTTGTCATCGATAGTCAATATATTAAGTTGGTATCACTGTAAAATTACTTATGGTATGTGAAGTTACTTTTGGGGTATTATAATTTTGATTTTAGGGATGTTATAAAAAGCTTATTTGAGATTTTGGAAAAATAGGACTGTTTTAAAGTTAATATATTTTGAAAAAGACAATAGGAAAATGATTTTACTATTTATGTTAAAAATAGAATTATATTTTTGAAAAAAAACTAGGATTCCTAGATTTATACTTAATAAGAATTAAGTTTTTATTAAAATCTATTTTCAAACTAATACTCACAAATCTCAAGAGAAGGAAAGTGGCGAGTTTTTAAACTTTAGGAGGAGGATAATGAAATTCAAAATCATTAAAGGTTGATCTAGATATAGTAATCCTCACATAGAAAAATAAAGGATTGAAAATGAACCTAAGAGAAAAAAAAGAAAAGGAAAAGAAAAATAAAAGTAGAAGAAACAAAAATTGAGGAGAAGCTTGAGGAGAAGCCTAATCAAAAATTGAATTCACTTGAAATTTCTTAAAGGAGAAAACTTAGATACAATCCTAAACTAATTCTTATTTCATAAATGTATTAGTCAAATCCTTACTAATAGTGTGCTTAAAATTTCTTTTTTTATACTTTATGAGAATCCTAAGTTTGCAAATTATTATTAAATTTAAATTGAATAGAAAATCAGAATTCCTAAGTTGAATACAAGATATTCATATACCTTAGTCTTAGGCCTATTCACTAGAATTTCCTCTAGGTTGCACTATGACATTCTTGAGGCAAAATTGTAGGTGATCGAAAAAAAAACACACTACTCAAATCAAGAAATATAGTTTCTAAAGTTGTAGGGATACTTGAGGACAAGTAACGTTTAAGTTTGGGGGATTTTGATATGTCTTGTAACATGCTAAATTTTCCTTATACTTTAGCACTTCTTTTTGATGAAATTGCACTTTAAATGAATGTATTTCCATGTTTTTGTTGCAAGTTTAATAGATAGGAGATTTGGAGCAAATTGGAGCATGAATGGAGGCAAAATGAGCAATGGAGCAACATTAGGTTGGCGCCTAGGCACCAGCTTCTAGTGCCTTGGCGTTGCTCCGTGGCGTCATGGTGTTGCAGATGGGTGCCTAGGCGCTAGATTGTATCCAACATACAGGGAAGATGGTGCCACAAACTGGCACCTAGGCGCCAGTTATTTTTCCTTCCCACCCAAGAAGGTAGCGCATAGGAGCCAGAACAAACCTGTGTGGTTTCTGCAGTAGTTATGGATAAATTTAGAGGTTATGAGTGGGGATAAGCAGTTCTAACAGAGGAGGATATTTGTGAAGCCAAGGAAAGTAGAGTTTAAAGTTCGATTTTGTATTTTTCTGCATTTTCTTAGAGAATTAGAGGATATTTTAATGGATTGTTGTAAGCAGTGTAAGGGACGCTTTTAGATCATTTGGGTAGGAGTTTTCACTTCTTTTCCCAGGGAGAAAGATAAGTGTTTTATTCTTTATTATCTTATATTAGTTGTAAACTCTTGTGTATGAATTTGTTTTATTATAAGAAAATGGATTGTTGTATTTTTTTCATGCACTGTGAGTAGATCCTGTGTACCTTTCTCTTGTGATGAAGTAGTAGTGGGTGTAGGATGTGTGGATACATTTAGAATAAGTTTTTATTCATTATTGTGATGGTTTTTACTTCACGTTTCATTTACTTATCAATCTAACCAATTGATATGTTAAAACCTGCTGTGAATCCATAATGATACGAGAGGGCTATGGCTTTAACAACTAGTAGAAATCACATTACACAATTGGATGAAGAAAAAGTAGCCCATGTGACAGTGTAATAGATAGCAAGATAGGTTTGATGGGTGTAAAGTGGAGATTTCTAGAGTGACAAGTAGAAACACTTACCTAGTTAAACCAAACTTATTTATGAACTCGAAAGAGCGTAAAGAAGATGAATGCTCCTATTTGTCACTAATTATAATCTATATTCTAAGTGTTCCATTCCAACACAAATTACTTACTTTATTGCAAGGGGATGATATTTTTCATAACTTGATCTTTCTCAACTTATTTAACTTTAGTAAAAGTAACTTTAGAGTAAACTATAGGTTTAGTGATAATTTGGAAGAATTTACAGACACAATTTAAATCGACTTTACTTTTAGGCTAAGACACATTATAGTAGGCTAGAACTTTTCTTAAGTTTTTAAAATAATAGCCTTCCCCGTGGGATTGATACTCATGACTAAAAAATCTAATATTACTTGAACGATACGTATGCTTGCGTAAAATATCTAGTGTGTAGTGTTAAATTGTGGAAAAACTCAAGTTAAAAAATTTATAATACATATTTTAGATTTAAAATATTTAATAAAAAAACACTAGGTCGGCCAATTAACTCCTAATGAATCATTTTACTACTTAGGCAGGGTATAACAGAACCCATGCAAATTCTTCATAGTTTATGTTAGCATCACATGAAGTCAAACAAGTGTGTACAATAATGATAAACCAATCATGAGATTCATGATCATTGTTTGCAGTAAAATAAAAAATAAACCAAGGCATAATCTGAAATCAAGCAAAATAACTTTTTTATTTATGCTAAAAAAAAAAAAAAAGCAACTAAGGGTTACCAGCCAAAAAGGGATTTTGACACCAAAGACAAAGCTTTATCTGCGTTGTTGCGAGAAATGAAGCTTCTTCAGCTTTGGCGATCAAACCAATTGATCCTCTGCATTAGTTACGAGAAGACAATGCTTTGCCTGCTTTGGCGATGGAATGGATTGATTCTCTGCGATCGTTACGAGAAGACAAAGCTTCGCTAGCTTTGGCGATGAAACCGATCGATTCTCTGTGATTTTTGCGACAAGATAAAGCTTCTCCTACTTTGGCAATCAAGCCAATTGATCCTTCACCTGCTTTGCAGTCTTCTGCAAATTAAGGAGTCGATCGAGCGAGAAGACGAATAGAAGGGCACGAGAGAAAAAAGCGAGTTTGAAAATATGGGCTGCAGGGTGGATTATGTGGCCACGTTTATTTTTAATGATGCCAAATGTCATTTTGAGAAAAGCATCCTAAAGAAAAAATCACCCTTAATATTTCTTGGTTTCTTCAAGAGTGAAGGACCCTTAATATTTCTGGGTTTCTTCAAGAGTAAATGTTGTGCTTCGTTTGCAACTTCAACCTTTCTTTGGTTCTTCGCCTTCGGCGGAGCTAGGGATTTTAGTGAGACATATATTACGAGCAGTTCCTCGAAAGAAATTTCTGGGGGCTTCTTCGTTATATAGTGTTGTTCCTGCTTGAGTTGAGCTCATAGGGGGAGCGTTCAGGTTATTTAGCCCCTTGGCGATGGAGAGGCAGGAAGAACCGGTTGAGGCTGGACAACGTTCACTTGATTTGCTCAGGCTCTCATCTAGGTGGACGTCGGCGGAGGAGGTGTCATTTTCGGCAGCGAAGACGGAGGAGGAGGAACCGTCGTATCTCAACACCTTTAACAGTTCCGGAATGTTCCAAATGGTGTCTATGGACAAGATGTCGGTGCAGTATGTTGGAAGTCCTCAACACGGCTACGACGTTGGAGCCGTGCAGGCCAACTGCCCGGCGCCAACGAAGAGGATCGCCTACTACTTCGAAATGACTGTCAAGAACGCCGGGCAAAAGGGCCAAGTTGCCATCGGCTTCACGACTAAAGAGTTCAACCTCCGAAGACAGCCTGGGTAAGCTAACAAGAATAAGTTGTAGTTTTTTGATTCCATTTGTTATTGCCTTCTAGGCGACCATCTGCTTTATTTATTGTATTTTGAAATAATTTTACCTAGTTTTGTTGCCCATTTTTTATTGCAGTTTCTATTAATCTAGCAATTTAGTTACAACTGGGGTTTATCTTACCCTTTGAAAACATGATAGAGTTCCTAGGCTCCAGGGAATTTCTTTTTAAAATTCTTTTGAGGATAAATGATCTGTTGGTTTAAAGTTGATGAACTATGGTATGCTATCCATATTTAATTAAAAAGTGGGCTAGTGTCCCTTATAAGTGTGCGTTTCATCCACACTTTATCAGTTCAACTTTATTACACGTTTTGCACTTAAAGGATATACCTTCTGGATCTTTGATTTTGAACATAGTCTATGTTGTGAATATTTATTCATGCAATAATATTTTTTTGATGTAGGATGAAGTATATCATTGTATGAGGCAATCTCGTGAATTGGAAATAATCTAGTTTTTGATGTTTAAAAATCAATTGTAGTTTAAATTTCGCTTAACTTTAAGTTTCTGGCTATGCCACATTAAAGTTTGATTCAGTCATTGAGACTTTTTGTAGTTGTAATAAGATGATAATACCTAATTTTATCAATTTTGTGAAAAAAATGGTATCGTGGTTTATTGTTCTCAATTTTTGGGGTGTCTTTTTTGATTTTCATCAATCATATTGGTCATAATCTTATTTCTTCTAGTATTTAACTCCATGGACGATCCACTTCCAAACTTCTTTGTGTTGCATTACTGTATTGTTTCCTTTGTTGGTGCTATTATTTCTTGTTTAATTTTTTCTTCTGCAGATGGGAAGTTAATAGCTGTGGATATCATGGGGATGATGGATTTCTTTACCATGGGCAAGGAAAAGGTGAACCATTTGGCCCGACATATACATCTGATGATACTGTAGGCGCTGGAATTAATTACTCTACTCAGGAATTTTTTTTCACGTAAGTTGTTTGCTCGTTTTTTGCTTCAAGTTTTTTATTATTCATTCCTCTCAATCAAATTTTTTTGTCCGTTAGGATATGCTAGTAGTAATTGTAAGATCTCATGACACTTAGCATTTGATAATCAAATCATGACATCTTATATCTCACAATCCATTGTTTTTCTCTAAAATAAATAACATTTTAACACTTCTCTTCAATGTAGTTCGTTTTGTTTGATTCCATGTGACAACTATGATCTTGTTATGTCACTCCTTCAAAGTTGGTGTTCATTTGATATCATTTAGTTTTTGAAATCACTTGAGAATATTTTTCGAACCACTAGAATTCTTTGGATCAACAATATACCTTCTCTTCAAACAAAAAAAAAAAGCTGCTTTTCCATTTAAGATTTATCTATGTTCTTAAATTATGTTTTGAAGATCAATTTTTTTTAGGTAAATAATAATCCATTAATAATTTACTCTGATATTGTGTCCTAAGTTTTGTATCATTCCATTAATCTGTAAAATTTATTATTTATCCGATACATTTTTGGAAATCTTACATCTTTTCATATAGGAAAAATGGAGAGCTTGTTGGAACTGTCTGTAAGGATATCAAAGGTCTCTTGTACCCAACAATTGCTGTTCATGGGCCAAATGAAGAGTATGGTTGTTTCCACAAATTCTTTGCTTATTATGACAGATAAGTTGTAGCATAAAGTTCAAGTGACATCTATTTATGTTATCATGACTTGGTGCTACAAGTATGCGAAAGGATTAGTTTCATGCATCAACTTCTCATATTTGAGCTTTGGTAGATTTTGGGAACTGTTTCTACTATATTTTTTTTATTTGTGCATATATGAGCGTGCATGTGATTCCACGTGTAAGATTGACATTGTATAGGAAATCTAAAGCTTTTTATCAAATGAGCTCTATAATTTGAAAGTTGGTGAGTAACAATTGAAAGAGAAGGAAAGAGTTTGCCCCTTACAAATTGAAGAGGAATTGGTCCTCCAACTGTATTGAGTTGACTCCAATTTCCAAGCTTGTTGCTTTCAATAAGCCAACCAAAATTACTAGGTTCAAATCAGACCAGTTGGTCAATAATGTACTAAGTTGATTCATTAATAATGGTGATCAATGTGGGCTTTGTGGATTAGCTTAACTTTGGCTAACCTAGCGTAGCCTACATGATTTATCACTAGCCTTTATTGACCCAGTTAGCTTATATGAGTTGCACTTGACTTAACCATGCCCTTACATGGTTCTTAATTTGAACCTAATTGACTCATATTGTTTTCCATAGATGAACTTTATTGACTTATAGGCTCTAATTGACCTATCATGGTTCTAGTTAACCTCTCATTGATCTTAATTGATTGAGTTTATCTAGGTTGAAGCTTGCTTGATCTGAATTAAATTTTTATTGATTTAACATAAATATAGAGTTTATATGGGACTTGTGTAACCTCACTCGCAAGTGATGAAGAAAGCCTTCTTTCACTCAAACTTATCATAGCCATAGCGACTAATTGAACTTGAAGCGAAGAAACTTGAATTGTGAAGATGAACAAAATTTTCCTTCTATCTATAGGAGGAAAATTACATGTGGGAGCTCACTTGAGTAATATACAACTCATATATCAACCAACATTGTCACCTTCAAAGAATAAAAATTTGAAATGGCATCAAATTTGCAAACCGTTACTGGATACACAATGCAGACTCACAAATTGATAGAAGGCATTTTGAAAATTTACAAATCAGATATTTGCATGCATCCCAATGATAGCACAAAATTTAGATTTTTTAACTTATGTGTATGTATTACTAGAAAATTTTAACTTTGATCAAAATGCCTTGAAAATCATGCAAACACACATGTAAGTGCACCGAAAAAATGTGCAAGTGCATTAATTGTGTGCACCAAAAAAGGTGCAAGTAGATGTTAAAGTTTCACCTTTTCTCTAACCATGTTAAATGCTTGAATATTTGATCAGAGAATCCACGTGAACTAATATAAAACAAATCAAATTGTCTCACTCTAAAAAACATTCAAATCAACAAATTCATTTGCATGTGCTCAAACAAGCATCTTAAATGTTAGAATTTATAGTCTGAAAATCATAGGCCGACTAACATAAAATGAATTTGAAAACCCATTAGTATAACTTAATCCTTTTTGCAAACTTCTAGATTCTAACTCAATATATGTGTGTGGTCATAAGCAGATCATAAATCTAATTCTTCATATTATTTGTATGGAGCTGACAAGAGCCGCAAGTTTTGTGCTAAGGTGATGACAACACTCAGATTACCAATCTGATGCTTGTCATCAAATATTGAGAAATAAATGCTGTTTAGCAAACCTTACAAAATTTATTTTGTCAACTATCCACGTATGATTTTCAAGGTCTTTGACAAATGAAGTTCATTTCAATTTGAAAACTCTTGGTGTCGCTACACGTAAAATTAGATAATGAATTTAACTCACAGGTTTGCTTCTATACCAACAAACGATAGAGTAGACAATGCCTGTGCTACAATGAATTTTTAGTTGAATTTAAATCATTTGCAGATCATAGATTTGATCCTCTTTAGGCAAGCAAGTAGAGTTGAAAATGTCCAAAATGACAATGCAATTGTTCAAATACAAGATCATTAATATCATAGCTATTGAGTTGCAAATTTTCTCTTTCAAAAAATTAAGTTATGCATCCAAGCATGCAATCATGCATTGTTGTATCTATATAGAAGGCTTTCTTAGATGACACAACCCATGATTATTGATGGTTCTTTTTTTTTGGTTGAGTCAACTACCTCCTCAGACTTGATAGACTAGGATCTACAACAAATTTAATATCAATAAAAATATAAAAAAATTATATAAATTGCTGAAAATAAAGCTCTCCAAAGGAACTTTGCTATTTAAAAGCTAAGAGCAAAATTTATCCACCTTTTGAAACAAATTGTTGGGTTAACAAATTTAAGCATAACTTAAGCTTACAAGAGTAAATATTATGTAAGGTTTATTTTTATGTTCACTCTTAAAAGATCTCATGCAAGTTAAGACGTGGCGTGGCATGTATTCTTTAGTGAGATGGTTTTGCCAAATGCACCAAGAAAGTCTGGTTATGACTTAGTTTCTCTGACCAAGTGGTTTGCCTACCATGCCTTAATGATATGACATAAAGCCTTTTCTTAGTTTAGTTTGATTTAAAATATTTTTTATTTGACGAACATTTATCCTAAGTCTATAAAGGTCACCTTGAATGACATAACTCATGATTGTTGATATGAATCTTTTAGTCAGGTTGGGTTGATTTTCTCTTATGAGTAAGTAAACTAGTTCATGACAATCTAGGATGATATAACCATAGGGCCATGATTGCACTCATCATCATATTCGACTAATTTTCTACTAACAAATAGTTTTAATCAAAACTTAAAAATTTTCTCTTTATTGGGAGCTGTAATTAATGATATGACTTGCCCTTATGATAAACTATGAACTAGATTTAAAAATCTTTATAGGGAAAATTATAAGGTTTTTTTTTTTTGACAATATAATTTTTTTCTTAAAATTGGACTCTGAACATAATACAAGAACTTTTGAAAGAGGCCGAGATGTGAACTTTTTGAGGCCACATAAATTGGTTTGATTCATCGAATATGTGAACTGATTTTTTTTTTGAAAGTCACTCGAGCTCACTTGATCATGATTAGAATCTTACATGCTTTGTTTCGAACATGATTATTTTTTGTCGAGTTTTCATTTTGGGTAAAAAAATTGATACACCGACTTTTTGTCAAAGATGGAGGTTCTCAATCCATACTCTTATTGTGTCGCGATGTGGAGTATACATTTGAGGTGGGTTCTTCACCAGTAGTGCTAGTTTGTAGAGATTTAGGGGACAATGAACCTTATATTACGACCAAACTGAAGGTGATCCTGGGTTAGGTAGCTATAGGACTTAAGAGAATATTGAAAATCCTTTTAGCAAGGTAGTGATATGGCCTGCCCATATGATAAATTATGAATCGGATTTAAAAATCTTTACAAAATAAGGGAAAATTATAAGGTTATTTTTTTTAACAATATAATTTTTTTCTTAAAATTGGGCTCTGAGCATAATACAAGAACTTTTGGAAGAGGCCGAGATGTGAATTTTTGGAGGCCACATAATTTGGTATGATTCATTGAATATGTGAACTGATTTATTTTTTGAAAGTCACTTTAGCTCACTTGAACATGATTAAAATCTTACATGCTTTGTTTCGAACATGATTATTTTTTGTCGAGTTTTCATTTTGGGCAAAAAAATTGATACACCTACTTTTGACAAAGGTGGATGTTCTCAGCCCATATTCCTATAGTGTCCCAATGTTGAGCATACATTTGAGGTGGGTTCTTCACCAAGAGTGCTAGTTAGTAGAGATTTGGGGGACAATGATCCTTGTATTACGACCAAACTGAAGGTGATTCTGGGTTAGGTAGCTACATGACTTAAGTGAATCTTAAAAATCCTTTTAGCAAGGCAGTGATGAAAATAGAAAGCAAAAATCAAATTTAAATCATGGAAGATATGATAAGGAATTATGCTAAACTAAAAGTATAATGAAGGAACTAAATAATTTCTAGAAGGATGGATGGCTAACACCCACAAAAGAGCATGCCATGGGAAAGTTGATGAATTCTAAAGAGGGAGTGAAATTAACTCACCGAGTCTCTGGAGCAATTTGAGATTTAAAAGAGCCTCATGTGATTGGGGAGGTAAAAAAGTGGGTTGTACCATTCCGTAGGTCCAAGATGGAAATGTGAAACGAATTTATAAATCTGGCCTTTGGAGAACCCCTTAGAGAAGTGATCGTGCTACCTTAGAAGATATGATGGATTCTCTATATTGACTTGAAAGAGAGCAATATATGTAACTAGGACCAGGGACTTAACATATCTAATGCATAGCATTGGACATGGTTTATTTTTACTTTGGGATGTTTGATCACACATTCTAAGTACAATACTCAAGGAGTACTCTCGATTAAAGGGTATTTTTATATATTTTTGAATTTAGCAAGCCGGTGCCTTGATATTTGGCATATATAAAGGAGATTGGCTTAAGTTGGTTTCTATGCTCATAGGGGCTTCTGATAGGGGTAGAAATCAACCAAATGAGAGGAGTGAAAGTTTGTTGATGTTGTCAACTAGTGATGTTGTATGTGGGACTTAAATCTATGCAAAAGGATCACCATATATAGAAATACTTAACATCAATATTCGAAGAATGTGTGAACTGAAGGAATCGTCTCAGGAGTAGGACATGTTGAGAGATTGCCTTACATTTCCTCAAATAACCAGAATTAGAATTGCTTGAAACAATTGGTAGTATCTTATTCAAGGTGGATATTTTTTATCTTGCTTACTTAGAGTGATAGGTTACGTCAAGCTGATAACATGATTCATACTTACTAGATTAGAGAAATTCTCTAACTCCTCTTAGTCAAGTTTAAATCCACCACATTGTCTGATTGATATGGGTAAAAGAGAATGCTTATGAGGGTCACTAATGTGATATAGAGATTACAATGAATATAAGTTTTTATGTTGACATGATTCGGGCAATGCAATAAGTGTGTTGATTGGGCTTGGTTGATGAAGTT